TTGATCACCGTATTATATTATTTCTGTTTAAAAAGAAAACAAATCAAATATCATATTCAATCTTCTTTCTACTCATATCTTTTCTATTTAATCAACATTATTTTAAAACATTTTTCCTAATTATCACAAAAAATTGTGAGGCGAAAAATGAAAAGCGACAATACCTGTAGTTAATCCTTTCATAAAATGATAACTACAGTTTAATAATCTCCAAGAAAGTCAATTTGAGTAAGAGCAACATTTTAATTTAGTAATCTTTTGAATGATTTTTTTACAAAGAATACCATTTATATATGTCGTAATGTTTTTCCTTTAATTAATCAAGTTTTTATGAGAATAAAATTTTGAATAGAAATAAGCAAATATTTAAAAGAAATATATTTAATTGTTTTGTCAATATTTCATGCGAAAATAGAATTATTTAGCTTCGTTTACACTTGCTCATTGCAAAAATTATCAAATGGGTAGCACTAATTTCAGATGTACTTTAATCAGAAATGGAAAGATTGTAAGCAACGAGAAAAAAGTAGACAAAAAAATAAGAAAAGTAAATAAAGTGGAGCGCTTAACTTATCATGATTTTCAATCATAATAGAAAAGAAAAAGTAATAGGAAAGATAATGAAATACTTGTTTAATCAATAATGTCTACTTAAATTTTTCATATATTATGCTAAAAAAATATCGAAATTTTAAATTATGAAGAAATTTCTCGTCAAATTATTGGTTGCTCTTTGGTTATAACTTAAACGCCATATGTTCTATTACACAATGAAATGCAAGATCAGATTTTAACTTTAAAAAAATAACAAAAAAAAAAAAGATCTGGAAAACATCTGCTTTGTTAATTTTAAAAATATTTAGTCTTTATATTTTTCTTTTTTCACTTAGAAAAGTACGAACATTTGATAAATATTTAGAAAGAGAAGCAAAATTTTGAGCTAACTTTAAATTAGTGCTTGGTAAGATTTTAAAAATAGAAGCAAATATTTCAGCCAGTTTGATGTTATTTGATATAAAGGTGAAAAAGTTTGTTGTACAGTGTAAAAATGAGAGGAAGAAGAAAAAGATAAGAGAAGGATGGGATAATGTATATTTGATATGATAATTTGAATAATATCGCGAATAATTTAATCAATTTTTCTTTTACTAAAATTCGCTTTACATTTGCATTATTAAAATATAGTTTGATAAGCTGTTTGAAATGAATTTAATGCTTACGATTAATTTAATCAATTTTTTTTTAATGTCAAATTTATTTTGCATATATATTATTATAATACACATTGTTACAGTAATTTGGATGATATCCAAGATCAACTAAATTAATTTTCCTTTCAATTGACTGATATGACAACCTCGCTAAGTTTTCATATTAAGAATAATCTAATTTAATGTTTTACTGAAATTGCTTCACATTTATATCATTAAAATATTTTTTAATATGATAGCTTTGATATTGTCTAAAATTAATTTAACTGATTTACACTGATCGAGTTGTTTTTTTTTTTTGATTGATTTAGCGATGTCTAAAATTAACTTAGCCAAAATTTTTTTCAGATTGAAATTTTTTCACATTCAAATCATCGATATACCCGTGCAAAAATAAAAGATAGTTGAAAAGTTCACAATTAATAAAACATTTTTTTATTTTCAAAGAAAATGGTATGAAAAATAATTTGAAATATGAGATATTTGCAAATAATGAAAATGCATGAATGAGACAAATAGTATTGTAATCATGATGTGATTAAGGTCATAGATTAGACGAAAAAATAATTTTTGAAAAAATTGCAAAATGTTAAATACTGATTCAATTTTTTTTATACGTTCTAATGTAAGCAAAAAAAAAAGACAAACAAGCTAGAAATTTATTGAAGGATAATTGAAATATTAACAACTTTAATAGTGAAAAATCGATAAAAATCGTGTTTTTTTTTTTCAGTTATGTAAGCATGTAAAAATTACAAAAGTAAATTTAACAGGAAAATTGAATAATTTTGATTGAAGAGCTCTCTCTTTCGAGGTAGGAAGAAATAATTGCATTGAAATGAATGTCAAATTTTATCAGAGAATTTATAATAATGACACGGATTACTATTCGGTAATTCGCCATTTATGAAACGATCAGTCATATTTTGATTTTGTTGAAAATTGGGGTCATTTCATTTCAATCGTATCTTTATGATCTTTGTTCATCTTATTAAATTCAATATATCCCATAATATCATCTCTTTTTTTTCCAATAATATTGAAAGTAGCTGAAAATGATTGCAAACAGTGAGAAAAAAAAATGATAGATGAATGAGATAATATAAAGATAAATATAATTAAGTCATAAGAAATTAAAAAATTGATCATAAATAAAGAATCAATGTAATTAATTCATAGAAATTTATAAAAAAAAAAACATCAATAAGCTTTTTTTTTTTTGATGAGTTTCAATTTCATTGAAATGAAAATTTCAGCATCACTTAATTTTTTAGAAATGACCCTATTTTTATTGGTTCCTCATTAGAAATACAATTATCGATATATTTCCATGCTCTTATCATGAAGATATTATCAGTTGAAATGAAAATAAAACAACGACTGTATCCATGAAAAAAATTTCCTTTTCTCACAAATTTATATAAAATTAAAACTATTATTTCATCAATGTTAAGCAAATAAAATAATATAGCCTATCATTATCGTTTTATTGGAATGCAATTGTTTTATTCCGATTTAAAGATATTTCAATTTGAATGTAAAATTCTACAGGTAAACATCATTTATTGTATGCAGTCCAACTTTTTGGAAAAAAAAAGCAAAATAAAACTAAAAGATGAAATGAACCGATCATGGTGAAACATACAAAATGCAGCAGTGAAAATATCATTTATTATCATTCGTTTAATTTAATCATTTTCGAGCAAATTTCTAATATCTAATTTTTCTATAACATATTGTCGCATTTATTTGGTTAATCCATTCATAATATATCGGGAAAAAATTCATTCTACCAATGTAATAATTATTGCAAAAATTAAAACAATTTTCATTCTATAATTTAACATTTAATATTTGAGATATTTATAGTCTTCTCGAAAAAAATAATTGGCATAAAAGATTTCATTTTAAAAAAAAGTATAAGTAGGCTTTTTTATGTGTATCATTTTTGTTTTCATTTTTTTTTTCAGTAGCATTTCTTCTTTCTCAATTATTTGCTTCCTTTATTCTTTTCATTTCTTTATTCATTTCTAAAAAATTTTTGCTAAATATACCAAACATAAAAAAAAACAGAAGAAAATATAAAATAATAAATAACTGTGATATAAAATTTTAAAAAGAATTGAGAATTGCAAAAAAAAAAAAGTTGATAAGAAAGAATGGGAAAATAACGAAATGATAATTGGACGTTGAATATTTTAAAAAAAAAATGAAATGAAATTTTGTTGAAAGAGAAGGATTGAGTAGAAGAGAATGAAGATGAAGGGAAAAAATGTAACCTAATAATTTCTCATCTTTTAATTTCAAAGAATTTCTTCCTTTTTTTTGACATAAATTGTCACAACGAGAAAAAAAATCCTCACATTGGTGGCCGAAAAAACAAAGAAAAAAGAAAGTAAATCGTTTTTGTTCGATGTGATTAAAAAATAATGTAGAATTAAAATGAATGATTAATACATTCGAGAAAGAAAATTAATTAAACAAACTAAAAATTTCCACATCATCTTTCTAAAAAAATATTTTATGCTAAAATTTTAGCATTAATATGCGAAGGTACGATGTGTATGATTTAGTTTTCATTTCAAAATATATTTCAATTTCTTATTTTGTGCAATTCAACAAAATGAGATTTCCCATTTCACTGATTTGTTATCCGTTCGTTTTCTTTTGAACTTTAATAATTTGCAAATAGAGAAAAAACTTCTCGCGCTAAATTTTTGAAAACTGCTAATGGGAAAGCACAAAGCAGCAAATTCGAAAGCAATAAAGCAAACTTGCTAAATATGAGAACTTCCAGCTAACTGGATCAATTGCTGCGTCCAATGCTTCGTCAATTTGATCGCGGAAACTTCAATGCGTTTCTCCTAGGTGAAAAAAGTTTGAAAAAATCCCTCAATCAGGAAAATGTACAATTTCTATCTTTAGCAAGTTAAAATCTTGAAGGTTTAAAATTTAATGTCGATTCACTGATATCAATATTGCCGCTACCTTTCACGCTGATTGCTTAAAGATTAATAGGAATTCCATAGATGCTAATAATTCATGTTTCCCCTGATGAAAAATACTTTGCTTTTTTAAATTTAATTTCATTTTTATTCAAAGTTCATATAACACATGGTAATTATTAACCAAATCAGTGAGAAATGGTAGAGATACTATATCGATCGCTTGGTCTTCTTAGCATTGATAACACTGCAAGTTACCTAACACCATTTTCAAAGTATTCTTGTTCTATTTAAGAATTTTCAATCCAACTCTCACAATTTGAAACCCTAAAAACATTCAATAAGTTATTCAAGTCAAATGGATAATAATGAAGAACAAAACAAATGCATAACTTTCTTTCGAAATTCTTAAACTTAAGTCAAAACCGGATTTCACTATAGGATAATAACAAGAAAAAGGAAACTCCTTTCGGATTAATACTTTATTCGATATGCTGCTTATCCTTCATCGCTGGAACTGTATGGAAATTTTGTTAAAAATAGCAACTTCAAAAACCCAAAAATTTTAAAGAAAAATACGGAGAGAACATATGAGAGCTATGTAAAGAAGGCAAAATAAATAAACATTATTTCAGCAGACCGTCCTTTTAATTATACTTACAATGAAAGGAATTATTTCATTTACTAACTGCCAAATTTCATTTGAAAGACTCGAAAGAAAGAAGAGATGTTAAGAGATAAACAAGGAAGTATTTTAACACTATGCAAACAGTATATCACTCAAGAAAATAGAAAACAAAAATATGCCATTTACGAAACACTGATAAATATTACTGATCTCATATTATTCGTCTTTTTTGCTATTTCCAGGGCAGTTATCATAATCAACTCGTTCCTGAATTTCTCGATCATGAACGTCGGGAGCTTTGTTTGACGTAGTAGACGTATCTTGAGCAGAAGCTGTACGAATTGGACATGTCGGATACAATAACGAATCAAATGTGTTCCTCCATGATTCTGGTAACAATCGGAGTATGATCGGTTGAATGAATTTAATGTATATCGCCAAAAGTATCGGTGGTAATATGCACAGCACACAAACCATTTCTTTCAAATAACAAATCCCCTGTTTTCCAGTGCCTAAAAAGTGAAAAAAAAACCTTTTGAGAAGACCAAAATATTTTCAATTAAAAATAAGAAAATTATAGAAACCTTTGTGTATCAGCCTACAACTCTGTAATGAAAAAAATTACAAGTTAAGCACTTCAACTACTAGGCAAATGTAAATTTGAAAAAAGTAATATAGCATGAAACCTTTCTTTGAGACCGTAGTCAATGTTGCAGAAGGGAAGACAAATTAAAACCAACTTTATTACACACGAAAATAACACGAAATAAAGAAAAACTATCAACAACACAAACTGTTCAATTACTTTTATGAATTATAATCTGATTTACAAACTGTGATGATCAAGAGTCAGAATAATTCCACATCTCTATATTCTTCAATTTAACCAAAATTCCTAAAGTTTCATAGATTATTTCTTGATGATATTTCGTCTATAAAATGTCCAACCCTCATAATAATATTAAAAAAAAGCTCTCTAAAGCTCTAAAATGTACTCGCTATCTGGAAACGCTAAGTTTCACAGTTTTAATAATAAAATAATTGTTCTCTATGAACTATTGCAGTTTCGCCTTTTAAAAACAGCAACAAAAAATCCATTAGTTAGATCAATTTCTGGCAATGCTCGCAAGCATTTATCACCAAATGAATAGTTTGCTTTTCCACGATGCGGCCACTCTGGCATTGCTTTTATCAGTTTGAATTGTCGTCGCAAAAATTCATCGTTAAGTATCTAAAAAAATTCATTTTAATATAAAATAGTAAGTTTTGTGTCTTGACAATATAAAAAAAAATTAATGAGAGGAATATTTTTCTTCTCTTTTTCTTCTCTATGCTGCAGAACTCCAAAATTTTTTAAGGAATCTAAAGTCAATCTGTTCGTTGTACCATCTGGAAAAAACCTGTTTACAGTTCCCTTCTTTCAGAAAAAATCCTATAGAGTTAAATCTAGATTAACAAAATGATTGACAACCTCTTCTATAACCTGCTCATTTTCTTCTTCATGAATTGAACATGTCGAATAGACGATTTTCCTCAAATTTGGTAATGCCATCGCATGTTTCAAAAGCATAGCCTAAATTGGAAAATTGCTATAAGAATATTCAAATGTTCATGAATAAACATATAAAATGATAACAGAAGGTTCGTAAATGAAGATACTTGACTGAGATCCCAATGCACTAAATTATAAATCTCCAACTCATAAATGAATTATCACATTGGATACGAACGTTAAAAAAACCCTCAAACTCCAGACCCGATAAATTGTGATCATGAGTTATTCCACCTGTAGATTTGATAAAGATCCTAAACGGTTCGTGCTTATCTTTTCTTCCTCATTAATCAATTGATCCATACGTTTGACAATCCCAGATCCACTACATGGAGGATCGAGTAATGCATATCGCACCTTTTAACGAAATAATATTAAAAATTAAATAAAAAAAGTTAATTATGCAGTGGATTAAACAAAATTTATTGAAAACTCATAAAGGCGATATTCTACGAACAATTCTTCTACCACTAGAAATCTTTCTGAGTTATCAAACAAGAAGGTAAACATGCAGTAAAAAAACCTAACGAACAATAACAACCTGCAGATTGATATTCCATATTTCCTAATAAGAGCCAGAAAATTTTGTTTAAATTCAACAGCAGAAATCAAATATACCTTATTAAATTTATTATCTGTCACATCGAGACGAAGAAAATCCTTGCAGCATACGTCAACATTGACTACTCCAGCTTTCTTGATCATTGTACGTAATGTTTCAATCCGATAATTTGCTTTATCAATTGCCCAAATCTTGCTGAAAGCAGAAATTGAATGATAAACACCATCTGCCAAGCGGATCATTCGTTTGCTACTTCATTTGACTACAAGTAATGTATAATAAACCTATTTAATTGAATAAATAAAGCATAAAAAATTTTCACCCTTCATTTCGGACCAGTGCTGCAAGATGCGCAGTCTTCATGCCAGGCGCTGCACAGATATCAAAAATATAAGTTCCTGCTTTTGGATTCAAAATCATACTCGATAAACAGCTCGCCTAAAAATGTACAATTTACTGGTTTGAATTTTAGTACTTACACAAAATTGAACTTGTACAATCGATGGAACGTAAATGGTAATGATCATACATGGTAATGAACTTATAGGAAATTAAAAATATAGTCACAAATGATCGTTTGGAACTATTAAAATTTCGTACTTAATTAAATTAAGCAACCCAGCCCAGAATATTTTAAGTAATCAACAAATTTGAGATTAGTTTTCGATTGGGGCTCGGAAGCAGTAACATCCCCTCGAATTTCTTCATCACAGTGGATTCAAAAACTAGCAGATTAAATTTAATGACAAAGAATAAAACTGACAGAACAGATCGAAAATCGTAATAAATTGTAAACGTTACTTTTGATTAACATAAGTATACCTTGTCTTGCAATAATATATATCCACCTGTAACCATCCAATGTTGGTGAAAATCGGTATTTGCAGGAAAGAGAAGCAACTCATTTACATGACAATCAATGTAAACTTGATTTTCCAGCATCGAACCAACAGCGGTTTTGTACCATTCGTCATCTTCTTGAGGCTCTAAACTCGAAATAATCCATCCTTCATCTCGCAAGGCTGAAACGAAAATTCTGCCAAATTGAAGGCTGATACTAACATTTCAATATCGTAAAGACAAAATGAAATACCTTGTAATGCTTCATCAAAAGACCATTTCAGAATATTCACTCTTGCATATCTGGGATTCTTTATGACTCTTGAAGATTGTGCAACATGCTCTTTCGTTTCTTCAATCATATCTTTCACAGTTTCTAACTTAAAAGATCACAAACAGTAAAAACCAAGTAAAATAAAGTGAAATTAATGAAAATAAAAATCAAGTAAAGGCACAGATCAAGTAAAATCATATTTTATACGGAATTTACATTAAAAAAAGAAAGCACCGGAAGGAGAAATAAAAAAACATTGTGCATTAAGGATAAAATAAAATGGTTTTATCTGATGTTATAAAGATTAAGATGGCTTGACATAAATTATCAAATACTACTGTTTCAAAACCTTCATTTAAGATTAGATTTTTATCTAATCATAAACGTTACGAAGACTAAGAAAGCCGCTCATATTCTTTTCATACGTTTAATTACATAGTCTCATAAATTGAATAGGAACTGAATGTGAAAAATGTAAGATGAAATGTTGCTAGTTATGTCCGTAATGAAAAAAATAATAAGAGAATGAATTCCGAACTTGCTGATCGATGTAGGCGGCACGTTTCAAAATAGCATTAGAATATGCTTTCCTAGTTTTGCCCAATCCTTGGCCAAAAATATGATCATATAGTAATACATATAACAGGTAACGATTAAAATGCAGCTCTTTTAGCAAGTCATGCAGTTCTGTGACTTCCAAAATTCTATCCAAACAGCTTCGAAAATGCAACGTCTGACAGCATAAACGTAATAATTGCTTCTTGTTCTAAAACAATTAAGTTCAAGTTTGAAAAATTTAAGAAAAAGATACACTTACATAATCATAAATGGGACTAATAAGTTAAACACACCTTGAATTTACTTGTATAAACTGCAGTTCGAACATTCTTCTCTTTATTGAGCGCCTTTTGTACAACTTTCCCCGCTTCAGTATATAAATCAAACATTGCAAAATGCAACGCAATGGGTATTTCACTATCAATGATACAGTTTCACACCTGCATTAACGATATCTGGTTTTAGCCATTATTTAATCTTAATACCATATCAACTGTGGATACTTTTTCTATTGATATCTATGCTACTTACAATTTTCCTCTTCCAGTTTCACGTTTCGCAAATTTAAAGTACTACATGATAACAGAAATTATAAATTAGACACTTTCTTTATATTCTTCATTATATTAGCATTAATAATATTTAAATCGCAAATAAAGGATTTCAAATGAATACCACATTATGTTCATCACTAGCAGCAATAAAAGAAAGTATTAAAAAAGCTTTCCAGTATCATTAGAATTAATTTGAACAGTATATTAACCTCACATATTACAAACTAACGAAATAATAGTATTAAAATTATGCGATAAATAGGATTCTAATACTAATAAGGACTAGTAATTAATTTAATTTGAATAATATCCTAATCTCATATTTGTACACCACCGTATGTCAATACTGAGAACTACTAAAACACTAATAAGACTTAAATTGTACTCATATAAAATTTATTAGTAATTCATTTTGAAGATCGATTCAGTTGCATTGCATTATTACTGTATGCAATGAGTGATGAAATGATTCAGTAATATGTGGGATTAATCTGTAACAGTGTGAGAAATGATAAATAATCAGTGATAATTTCTGGCAAAACAAACACATTGTCATAATCAATAAATGACGCATGTGATTAAACGTCTTGTGAATTCATAATTTTTATTGAAGAATAATGTTATTTTCAAAAAATAATAAAATTAAATTTAATATTTCATCTTTTTTTTTTGTATAATTTTGGCGTGTTTTTGAGTGACATTTTTATTATGGGCGACAGGATGTTATCGCTTTTTTTTTTCTGAAATTTCATACTCTTTGATTAAGGAAAAGAGATAATTTGGATTGAATAAATGCCGGAACTAATTAAATTGAATTTAATTTCACTTTTTTTTTTATTTTCCTTTTAATTGCATGTTGTGACATCTTTAAAATTTCATGATTATTATAGAATCGGAGAATATTTCCAACGACAAAATAATAATTAGTAATATTAGCATGCCTTGTACGATCATATAGTGCATTTCTGTCAGATTATTAATTACTGATATTCAAGTAAATCCGGAATCGAATGTTGAATGTTTCTATCAGGAAAATTTTTTGTTCTTTTCTCTTCCTAATTTTTGTTGTGTCCAATTTTATCTGATATAAATTTGATTTTAGATTTCGAAGTGGTTGTTTGATTCAAAATCAAACAAATGAATTATCAATTCAAAATATCGCTGATGAATATAAATTTATCTGTCGTTCTTTTTCTGTTAGCGAAATTTTGATGACATTTTATAATTGCTGTGCTTAAAATTTTGCATTTTTCTTAAGGTTATCAAAGGAAGAAAAAAAACTAATCAGATTCTGAAAATTTAAATGATAATTTTTACTTAAATGATAGTGAAAATTTTCTTGTTTGTTATTGTTTTTAATGGTTCAGTGTGTGGTAAATAAACAGTGAAGAGCAAATTTTTTGATATCATAAAGTAAAATGTAAAGTAAAATGACGCTAACATGTAACACGAATGGTTTATTGCATTCTCGTTGATTTATACAATCCTATCATGAAATATTCTAAAAGAGAAACATTAAGTGAATGGCGGGAAAGAAGCGGAAAAAAAATTTTTCTTTTTCAACAAATAAAAAAAGGAAGAAGGAGAAATTGGTAAAAGTTTGAAATTAAATCATAGTTATTCTTGAAACAAGAAGTAATTTAACAATTCGCAACAAATTACATAGTTTATCGTGTGCAGCATTATGGATAGTGATAAGTAAATTATCATTGGTGATAATATAAAATGGAATATGTGAAAAAGAAGTGAAAAAATATTAAAGATGATCAAGTAAAGAATAGAAGTAACAACAGTATGATTGCGACAAATTTGAGGCAGATGAAATATTCAAGTTGAATGAATGATTGGTTAATATGGAAATAACAGTAATGATAATTTTTTTAGTATTTATAGAAAACGTGTTCATAAAATATTTCATTAATAACGAGCAAACATTTGTAATTGAAAAAAGAACAGAAAATGGTGAGAGATTTTGGAAAACAATTTTGAAAAGAAAAAAAAAAGATGGAAAAAGATATGAGAAAAGATTATTTGTAGCAAATGAAAAGATTTTACCATTTTTTTTTTTCATTCTTTTTTAAATTGGATATGAAAATGGTTAATGTTTTATTGATGTGGAATGATTGGAATAAACAGTTATGGTACGGTACGGTATGATACAGTAATACAGCTGCAACAACTACGGTAGATAATATTACTTTAATATGTTTAGATGTATTGGAACGATTTCAATTAATGAATTAAAAGAAAAAAAAAAGAAATTAGAAGAGAAAAAGACGAGAAGTGACTTTTAAAAAAAACATTCCAACAATATTCCATTCATTTTGGAAAGAGAAACAGAGAGAAGCATGCAGTATAAATTTATCGGTTCCAAAAGTAAAGCGTTTAAAAATTTATTTCATTTCGGAAATATTTTAAATTCTAGGAACTATTCATGGAAATTTTCAACTTCTCAAACAAAAAGGAAAGAAAACGATTGCTTTGGATAAATTAAATAGCCTAAGGGGTTTGAAAAATTTTTTAAAGAACATCGATGCGAGAAGAAAATTAGGGTGCAATTTCTTGTTATTACTGTTGCTGAACTTCCTTTTTTCATTTCTTTTCCCTTTCTCTTCTTTGTTCCTGTTTTTAATAATAGTGATAAAAAATGGTGTTAATGATTGTAGCAGTAGTGATAGTATTAGTGATAGAAATGGTAATAGAAGTAGTGGTAGTGATAATATTATCGATTATTAACATTGTTATTTATCAGCAAGCAATATCATTACTAATATTATAGAACTTTAAGTCATATTTTTTTTGACATGATAGAAAACAAATGACTGATAAAGCCTACAATGCCTACTGAAATTAAGAATGAGGAAACAATGAGAAAACTAGAAAAGAATATAATTTTATTTTTTGTTTTTTATTTTATTTTAATTCTGGTTTTATATAAAAACAGATAAAATTCTTTCGTTTTCTTTCGTTTTTTTTTGTTTTTTGTTTCGTTTTTTTTTTAATTAATAACAAAAACAGGAAGAAAAAGAATGGAAAACAGTTCAGGTTGTCTGAGATTGATTGGAAGATTGAGGAATTGAATAATGTGTACATTTTATATTATGCATTATTTAATGTGATTGTTTCAAAAATAAAAGAAAATAAAAAAAGGAAGAAGAGAAAAGACTCATAGAGCCTACGTATGATAAAAGATAAGATAAGAAATAAAGGATAAGAAAAAAAAATGAACAAAAAAAATTAAAGAAAAAGAATGGAAAAGAATGGAAAACGAATTGCGAATACAATAATCCTGTGGATTAACTATCCTGGATTGATACTGTAGTTCGTTTTGAATTACTTAATACTAACAAATTATCAGTATTGATAATTATTTTATGCTTTAGTAGAATGTGATCGTAATAATGTGATAGCAATAACTGTAGCAACCGTAAAGACGGTAAGTGTAAGCATACTGGCAAATGTAAAACCGGTTACTGACATACAAATACCTCGATTCATTGTAGCAACAATTACTGGATGACCAATTTCGTGCTCTGTTGATACTGATCGATGACGCAATGCATCCGGTAATGAAGTAAACTGAAATTTAAATGAGTAAAGAATTAATTTACTTATTGATTAGAATAAATGATTAGATTCGTACACAAAAATAAAATGACTTATCATGAGTGAATATTAATGATTATTTATACTCAATATATATTTAGACTAAATAGATATATGATTGTAGTAGAATTAAACAACGAAAAATTAACTAAGGAAGAATTTTTTTTTTTTTTTTTTTACATTTTCTTATATTTTCTTGAACTTGAAAATTATATCAAAAATTAAAAATATTAATTGTATAGATGATTTGCACAATATTTATTGTATATTGTTTGGAATTTGCTTAAGCTTGAATAATTAATTAATATCAACAAACCTCTTCATTAATATCTAATGTATTAAGATCGGTGCGTACATCCACAATATTTTCATCTCTTGCATCTCGCTTTTTCAATACCCTAAATACGGCAGCTTGTCGTGATGCAGCTGCGACACCATTTCGCGTTTTTACAGCACCGAAACCTTGCGGTTCAACACATTGTGGTCGTTGACATTCACTATTTGGTTCCTTAATTGTTATGCT